GAATTTCTCTGCTCCCCCCACGCCATACACCGCACCCCTCAACCCCCCCAACCCTCTCAGCCACCATCACCATGGTGTCCACGCGCAGTAAGACAGGCGCGCTCCCCACCGCCTCTAAGACCATCGACAAGGCGCGCCCCTCGCGCCACCCGAAGGGCAAGAAGGGCACGCGCGTCGCCACGTCCAAGGGCAAGGCCGGCGCCGCCGTCTTCCTGGACAACGCCTCCCTGCTCACCGACGCCGGCGTCCACGTCTCCACCGCCTCGCTCCTCGAGGGAACCAAGGGCATCGTCCTGTTCACGTACCCGCGCGCAAACACCCCGGGTTGCACCACCCAGGCTTGCAACATGCGCGACGCCAGCGCAGACTTGAAGAACATGGGCTACAACATCTGGGGGCTCAGCTATGACAAGCCCAAGAGCCAGGCCGGGTGGAAGGCCAAGCACTCGCTGGAGTATGGCCTGCTGTGCGATACCTTGGACATCGGCGTCATCAAGGCCCTGCGCGCGCACAAGAACCCCAAGGGCATCGTGCGCAGTGTGTTTGTCGTGAGAGCGGGGAAAGGGGGGCCTAAGGTCGTCTTTCACAAGCTCGGCGTGTCGCCAAAGGACAGCGTTCCCGTGGTGAAGGCGTTTTTGGAGGGCGAGAAGAAGACGGAGGAGAAAGCGGAGGAGAAGGAAGAGGAGAAGAAAGATGACGCCAACGGTGGCTAGGTTCGTTTGGCGGCCGTGTTTGAAGCGCCTTTTCCAGCCTAGTCCCGTCTTGTTTCGCAATGCTTTCACGACCTGTCCATACCTATCCGAATAAACTCCCGTTTTGTGCAAGTCCTCGTCACTCGTTCCCCGCCCAACAAAGACAAGTCGCACACAAGTCGCACAAGTCGCACAAGTCGCACAAGCCGCACATCTTCGCTTTTCATTTTGGTTGCCTCGTCCACGTGACGTGATCCGCGACGGAGTTTGTTCTCGTGCGCACACGATTTTTTTCCGATTTTTTTGTTGCCGCTGATCTCAACGAACCTCGCCATCATCGCCGCTGATTCGTCTGATCACTGTAGTTCGGTAATAAGGACGCGCCTCTTCACATCCATTTGCTTACCTGCCCATGAGTATGATTCACTCAAGGTAATCTGCCTCGTTGACCACGCGGTTCTTCAAGTCTTGGGGAAAAACAGGCGTTTCCATGTACGGCATCTTCACACACCCCCAAACGTCAAAACACTGGCTCACCAACACCCTGCTCATCACTCCTTGTATGCATTTGCAATTCTAGTTTAACAATCTAACGTCCGGTGCCACTCTATGAGTAGCAATACCTCATTCTTCTCCACGCACTCTTCTCTAAACAGCCATCTTGACGCAACCAAAGTCTACAAGCATACTATAGCTGTTCTTTTTTACATGCACTCTACCTTCGCCGCACTGCTATAGCTTAACGGCGTACCTGAATCCCATCGCCTATTTCGCCACCCAAGGGAACATGAGCTTCAAATGTGAGTCGAGACGCTGCCGGATAGCATTATATGAAAGATATAAAGGTCTGCAAGCCGGGAAAGGTAGTTGGGACAAGGGCCTGTGCAGGCGGTGTGGCAGGGGCCAAGATTACAAGCACAGCAAATCACTGTGAAAGGGACATAGGACATTTAGAGACGGCAAATGATATTGCTCGAGGCGATTCGATATCTAAATTTTGCCAAGACCGCAGACAGTTTTGAATCAAAGGTTCAATTGTATGCTGTCTTCGAGTCCTTCTGGGGCAGGAGAAGGCAACCGTTTGTGGGAAGCAATCGATTCATGCGTATAAAGGGGTGCGTGGTGAGCCAGGAAGGACGTTCTTCTGGAAGTCGGTTACATTCAGAAGAAATATATTGTCCGTACGGCTCTTTAGGTGCGCTGCCAATCCTTTGTCTTTCCTCCTTGAACCCTTTTTCATGTGACATCTCGGATTGAGTCTCCCTGATAAGACGCTCGATATTACTCGATGTACATACAAACCCATTTGTTTCTTTCGGGGACTGACTGAGGGGGCAGCTACAAAACATATTGTGCTCACAAAAAACAGCTCCCATAGTCGTCAAGCTCATGAGGTTTTAAACTCTCATGAGTACAGCAAAAGAGAACGGATTTGTCTGTTGTTTAAGTTTCCAATAACAGTTCTGATATCAGGCGCGATGGACTGCTTTAAGCTAACCCCAGTGGCAAACGCCAGCCTACGCAGCCCTTGGGGTCATGGTGACTGCTCGACATGGGAAGGATATTTTGGCTTGCGACGTAGAAGTGTGAGGGATTCGGAGTGGTTGCGTCTCCCTTTCCAGAGGAGGATGCGGTACTGCTCACGGAAACGGCGTACAAAAGTCACATTTTGCCTCCCTGGAGGGCGAGTAAATTGGAATATCAGAGGCTGCAAAACTCCTGATATCTAAGTTGCTCGATAGAAGGCCCTAGAAGAGGAGAAATAACCCTGTAGGGCAGGTCTGCAAAGGAGTCTTTGTAAATGTGAAGACCGATTCAACACCGAAACATGCAATGAAAACGAAAACAAAGAACAGCGCATAAAGCAAGACACTTACTGCAGGTGCGAAGATGCGCCGCAGCTCCTACCAAAGGATTCCCATTCAAGATCTCTGGTTTCCCGGCTCAAAGGAAGACTGCCTGGCATCATTTCCGAGTTGTGGTTCTGATGCAATGGGTATGGTTCTATATCTTGCCTCAAAACAGTTATTTATTGCCTGTCCTTCCAGCCTTGTAACTTGAGACCAAACACGCCTTTTGTCTTTCAATGGTTGCGCTTCAACAAATACAACTAGAGAATAGCTCACACCCAGCCCACAGGGGCTCACCAAGAACAATAATGTGGTACAATGATTGAATCAGTCGCGGTAGATGATTGCATCTCTACCCGGACCGACGCCAACATAACGGATCGGCACGTTGATGAGCTTTTCAACCTGAATCACGTACTTTTGTGCGTTCTCGGGTAAGTCTTCAAACTTTCTCACACCCATGATGTCAACCCCCTTCCAGCCTGGCATCTCCACATATTCAACTTCTGCCTCGGCAAGTAGCTTCAAAGATGCCGGATAGTAGGTCATCTTCCTGCCACGAACAATGTATCCGACGCCAATCTTAATAGTCTCAAAATGCGAAAGCACATCCAACTTTGTAAGACAAACCTCGGTATACCCATTCACAGAATGTGTATAGTTGAGCATGAACGTATCCAGCCATCCACAACGCCTCGGACGGGCCGTGGTGGTGCCATACTCATGTCCCTCGACCTGGAGCGTGACGCCAGATTTATCATGCAGCTCGGTCGGAAACGGCCCCTGGCCGACGCGGGTGGTGTAGGCCTTGACGACGCCGACAACCTTGTCTATGGCAGTTGGCGGAATGCCCAGACCGGTAATCACGCCGCCCGCTGTGCAATTACTTGAGGTAACAAAGGGGTAGGTGCCAAAATCGATGTCCAGCAACGCTGCATTGGCGCCTTCCACCAAAACAGCATGCTCCTTGTTCGAAATGGCATGGTTGAGCTCCGCGACGGTGTCGGTGATGTTCGGTTCCAGCACCTGCGCATACTCGTAATAGCGTGCAATCTCCGCGCGAACGTCGTAATCAAAGTTGTGAAAGCGCTTGTGCTTGGACGCGAGCGAGCGGCGAAAAGCGTCCGGAAAGTCTCTAAAGTGGCGCAAGTCACCGACACGCATGTTGGTGCGGTTCGCTTTGGACGAGTAACACGGGCCGATGCCCTTGCCGGTGGTGCCGATCTTGGCGTGCCCCCTCTCGACCTCGCGCAATCCGTCGACAATCTGGTGGTAGTCAAACAGCAGATGCGCGCGGTCCGAAATCCTGACGCGCGGGACGACGTTGCGCACGCCCTTCTCCGAGAGGGAGGCGAGCTCGGAGAGGAACTTGGGGACGTGGAGGACGACGCCGTTGCCGATGAGGGCCAGGCAGTGCGGATTGAGCAGGCCCGAGGGAAGGAGATGGAACGCGTACTTGACGCCGTCGACGACAATGGTGTGGCCGGCGTTGGCACCGCCCGCAGCGCGGGCCAGGATGTCGTACTGCGACGTGAGCAGGTCGATGAGCTTGCCTTTGCCTTCGTCGCCCCACTGCGCACCCAGGACGACGAGAACCTCGCCCGGCGGGCGCATGGCGGACGGGGTGGGAAGCGTGTCGGGCATCGCGTGCGAGGGTGATCCGTGCCAAAGGCGACGGATAGGAAAAGCGGAAGGAGGGGGGGGGAGTGGTGGCGGAGATAGTGTATATGTGCGAATGGGGCGGAGCGGAGCGTGTGGCTGTGCGGGCGGAAGCGGGGAGAAATTAGCGGAAAAGTAAGATATGGGGCATGTGGGATGTTGCGTTGATGGATGCGCTTTGCCAGCCAGGGCCATCCACCCGAGGCGGGCATGTCTCTCCTTCTCTCCCCAGCCTGCGACCGCGACTTGCGCGCGAGGGTTGGCGCACGGGTCGGCGCAGGGGTGAGGCTCTTGCCCACAAGACGACGACGCCACCTCCAAACCGGCGATACGCAGCCTCGGCAGACACAGTTACGACGGCAGCTGCAGCTTTACACACACGTTCCGCGGTTTCGCCTTCTACTCCTTGCGACCCTAAACTCCCTCTCAATCTCTCTAATATCCACAACCTTCCTAACCGCTTTACTCCCCCACCTTTCGCACCTCTCATTATGCTCCTTCGCGTCCTGTTTCCACTCCCTAATAACGTCTTCCCCCACATCAAACTCATCCCCGACCCCGCCTTCCGCCTCGCGCTCAAACCACTCATCCAGCCCTACCTGCGCGAACAGAGCGGCAAATTCCTCCTCATTCCCAACCCACCGGACTCTTTCCCCCACTTTAAAGCTTCCCGCGCGCGATAAACGTCCCTCCCCCTCCAGGCTTTGCTCGTCTAGAAAGTCAAAGTCCTCGCTCCCCGCGTCCGCAAAGTCTTCCAGACAGATCTCGCCCACGATCTCGTCACTCACGGCCTCCTCCTCCTCCTCCTCCTCCTCCTCCTCCTTCCCCTTCCCAAACCTGACTCCCCCCCTCCCCCCACGCGCATACCCATGCGCGCGCTCAAACGCATCGTCGTCGACGTCTGCCGCGTAGTCCATGTAGCGGCGACCCTCCCCGCCGTTCCCGCCGACAACCGGCGGGACCAGGCCGCTCTTCGCCCTGCGCAGGCCCTCCAGCGGGCTGGGCTCATGGTCATACACGTCGCCCCTCTCCAGCACGAGCTGGGCGTCCCTTCTCTCCTCCCTCGCCTCCTCATCCGCGCGCCTCCTCCGCAAGAACAGCGAGACCCTCTTGCGGCCCGTGGCGGCCGAGTGGCGCTCGCCGACGGTGGAGTCGCGGCGCTCCGACGTGATGCGCGACGCGCCGGGCGCGGTGTGCTGCGGGCCGGCCTGGACCGCGTCAAGCGAGCGGTACAGCGACGACACCACGCGGATGACGATC